CTGAGCTCACTGCACCTGTGGACCCTGTGCTCACAGGGAACCCCTTTGTCTGCACCTGAGCTTGCTCCACCTGTGGGCCCCATTGGTCATGGTGAAGCCTCCTGTCTCCAGCTGCTGGATGTGCATGGCCAGGAGGCGGGCTGAGGGGATGGTGGGCTGGGCCCTGAAGCGCCGGCCCTCCATCAGACAGAGGCTGTCACTCTTGAGGAAGACCTGGCCATGCGGGAGGGGAGGGGGCGAGGGGGGAGGAGATGGAGATGAGAGACAGTGGGGGACGGATAAGGAGAGGTTAGCAGGTTCCTTCCAGCTCAGCTGGCCTCTGCTGCCTCCCTGCATGGACAAACACTGCCACCACCCAACTGGTGACTTGGATTTGGGGTCATGGGTTCAAAGCCCACAGTCTTGAGGCCCCAGATGGACAGTTTTGTCTTCATGCAATTTTCTTATTATCTTTCATGCCTCAAAGAGCCAGGATGACAGCTTTTCCAAGGAAGGCTTGGTCCAGGAACAAGACCTAATGGTAGAGGGGCCCTGGGGGGTAACAGAGGTGAGGGGGAGCTCCAGGGGTGCCAAAACTGAGGGGAGACAGGTCAGGAGGGTACTGGGCACAGGTATTTGAAGGACAGCAGGCACTAGGGAGTTGGGGACTGGAGGACAGGGACCAAGGAGAATTGGAGGGGTGACAGGCCGCAGGAATAGGGAGTAGGAGACAGTACTGCTTGCTTTGTGTCTTTGAATAGGGGACACCACCCTAGTCTTTTGGGGACCTGTGTGTGGGCCACTGTCCTGAGCCCAGGACTGCCCAGCATCCTAACCAGAATGTACTGGGATCAGACCAGCAGGGCCTCAGGCTCCCAGTGGTGGCTCACGTGAGGTCAGCCGGGTACGCATGGGCTCTGTGTGTACTCCACCACACTCTGAGAGGCCCTTGGGTGCTGGGGGCGCGGAGTGGAGAAGCTCTGTGATTTGTACCTCCACGGCCTTCAGCTCCTCCACAACCTCAGCGATCTTCGCGGGTAAAGTTCTCCAGGCCTGGAGGGGACACAGGTGACGTGTGGGGCTGAGCATCCCGTGAACACCATACCCCTCCTCCCCAGGGTACACACAGGAAATCAGTCCATGTTCAGAGGGTCTCACCTCTGTTCTCATGGGTGAATACTCCTTAATGGGACATCGCCTGTACTCTTAGAAGAACTCTACATACTTACAGGAGAACACCCCTATATGCTCACAGGGGAGCACCCCTTATAGTCCCGGGGGAACACTTGCACCCCTGTACTCACAGGGGACTGCCTCACAACCAGGTGCTCCAAGCCCCTCAGGATCTGCATGGCGGTTGCAAAGTTCCTCTGCTCATAGCAAGACTTTGCAATCAGCAGAAATTTGGACAGCAAGTTCACCTGCAGCTGGAGACAACAGACAGCACTCAGGCCCCTGCAGCTTCAGGACCCTTTTGAGGACCCCGTTAGAATAACGTGGGCCAGCACTGAGGAAACGATGGGGTGGGGGATTGGAACTCAGACTTCATTACGACAAACTGCAGTGGACTTCAAACTGCTAGGGAGCAGTGGAGACACCTGGGCAGGGAATTCAGGCTGCTTGGCAGCCACAGGAAGACATAACCCCAGGGTTGAGGAAACATGTATGAGGGACTGTGTGCTCACCTGAGAGACCCAGTGCTCAGGGATGCTGGCAGGGTGGGGGTGAGGGTGCCGGTGGGTGAGCCTACGGTGGCCAGGGAGTATGTCGGGCCTTGCACTGGGGAGGGATGTGCGGCAGAGGCAATGGGTGTGCGCGCGTGTGATCATGTGAGAGTGCGAGGTGAGGTACTGCTCACTGCAGCGCCCGGTGTGGCTTGTGGGATAACAGTGGTGGTGGATGCCATGGTGCTGCCACCTGCCACCTCCAGCAGGGCTGGCCCTGAAGGACGTGTGTGTCTGGTCCCTGTTCCCTGTTCTGGGCAGTGATGGAAGCAGCACGGCCATAGGCTTCTTCCTGGCAGCAGCAGAGAAGCACACCTTGGCCGTGTGGCTGGTCACGATCTCTGCAGCCACCCAGGTGCTGACGTCATCAGCATTCCTTAGGACCTGCAGCAGATACTTGTCCTGGATGTAGTCCGGCAGAAACAAGCTACAGCTTTTGGCTGACGAGGTGTCGGAAGAGCTGACTCTAGAATTGGAGCAGGGGTATAGAGCGTCACACAGTGTGTGGAAGTCGTACGAGATGGCATGCGTGGAGACATGCATGCAAGGACACAGATGGCTACACAGGGAATCACAAGGGTGTCCTGAAGACTGTGAACAACAGATCCGATCCCTCTCCTATCCTGCACCTCCTCGTGACCTCTGACATGTCCCAGCCCATTGCTAGTCACCGTGTCCTGCCATCTTGATAAGTGTGTTCCTCTGACCCCTCATCTCTCTCAGCATGATGTCTTTTTCCAAAGACTGGCCTCTCCTGACCACATGCCCAAGTACACGAGATGAAGTTTCACTGTCCTTGGCTCTAAGGGGCACCCTGGTTGCACTTTCTCCAAGACAGACTTGTTTGTTATTTTGGCAGTCTGGAATATTCAGCACTTTTCTCTAACACCACAACTCAGAGACATCGATTATTCATTATCGATATTCATTATTGTTTCATCCTTAACCATTCTTCAACTTTCAGATGCATATCAAGTAACTGGGAAGACCATGGCTTGGATCAGCCACACCTTAGTCTTTAAGCTGACACCCTTACTCTTTAGAACTTTGGGAGAGGTCCTTGACAGCACATTTCCCCAATACAGCATGTCTTTTGATTTCTTCACTGCTGCTATCATGAGTGTTGATTGTGGACCAAGTAAAATAAAATTATTGACATTTTCAATCTTCTCTCCATCAACCCTGATGTTTCCTAGTGGTTTAATGGGGAGGATTTTTGTTTTCTTGATGTTGAGATGTAACCTATATTGAAGATTGTAGTCTAATTTTCTGCAGCAGGTGTTTGAAGTTCTCTGCATTTTCAGCCAGCAAAGTTGTGTTACCTGCATCAGGCAGGTTGTTGATGAATCTTTCTCAGTCCTGATGTCACTTTCTGCATGTAGTCCAGCTTCTCAAATGATTTGCTCAACATCCAGATTTTAATTGGTATGGAGACAGGATGCACACCTTTCTTGATTTTAAACCATGCAGGGTTCTCTTACTGTGTTTGGATAACACCTTTTTGATCTAGATAGTAGGTTTTGCATGAGTACAATTAAATGTCCTGAGATTCCCTTTTTTTTTCAATGTTAGTCATAATTTGTGATTGATTCAGTCAAATGCCTTTGCATAGCCAATAAAACACAAGTAAACCTCTTCCTGGTATTCTCTGCTTTCAGCAATAATATCTTTTGTTCCATGGACTCTTCTGAATTTAGTTTGAATTTCTGGCAGCTCCTGTTGACATACTGTTCTAGTCATTTAAAAATAATCTTCAGCAAGATTTTACTTGCATATGACCTTATTTGATGATTTCCATAGTCCATTGGATCACTCTTCTTGAGAATGGGAATTGATATGGACCTCTTGTGCTCAGTTGACCAAGAGCTGTCTTCTAGATTTCCTGGCATAGACTAGTGAGCATGTCAGGGCTGCATTTGTTTGTTGCAACAACTCAGTATTCCATCAATTTCTGGAGCCGTATTTTTTTACCAATCCCTCCAGCACAGCTTGTACTTCTTGATTACTGTTGGTTCTTGATTTTGTACTACTTCCTGAAATGGTTCAGTGTTGACTAATTCTTTTTGGTACAGTGACTCTGTGTATTCTTTCCATCTTCTTTTTGTGCTTCCTGCATAATTCAAAATTTTGCCTGTGTAGAATGCTTCAGTGTTGCAACTTAAGCTTGAATTTGTTCTTTAGTTCTTTCAGCTTGAAAATGTTAAGCTTGCGCCTCCCTTTTTATTTTCTAACTCCAGCTCTTTGCACATTTTATTATACTATTTTCCTTTGTCTTCTCAAGCTGCCCTTTGATATCTTCTGTTCAGCTCTTTTTTTACAGCATTTCTTTTTGGCAAGAAGCTGTACTGCAATCCTGAAGGGGAGCGATTCGAGGCTGGAGAGAAGGCTGGACGATCTCCCGTGTGATTAATTGCCTCTGAAAACCTGCCAGAGGGTCAGCTATGCGTCCGTTCCGACTTGATGGTAAACAACAACATATTCTAGTGTAATTTTCGGAGTCTGTTCTGACATCCATTTTGGACTTTTCTTTCTTCCTGTCTTGGTAGTGACCTTCATGGATAATCAAGTAGAGGGGAAGATGTTACACATGGAGACATCAGAGATCACATGGGACATCATGCAGTTGGATGTCATGGGAGGTCAGCATGAGGAAAACACATGTCATCACACAAGTATGCAGGTTGGACACTTGATGCCCTTGCCTGGGCTGTGGGTACTCTGCAGCCCGCTTTCCTCTGCTGGAAGCCATGCCCTGGCTAGTCAGGTCCAGACCAGCTTCAACCAGATGAGCCCTGGGGTGTGTGTGCTGCATGGGTTTGTGTTTGGGGGACTCTGACGGCTGTTGCCCTCCACTCCCAGAAGTGAAAACACCTTGGGAAGGCAGCATGGAGGAGGAGCACCCCAGGTGGTAGACCCCCCCAAGTCCCCCACCCCTCGCTCCCTGGCCCTGGCCGCAGTTATTCTGCAGGCGACTTACTTGGGGACGGCTGCCTTGTCCATGACACCCAGAGCGCGGGAGTTTAGGAAGTGGACCGGGTGGCACCTTTGAAACAATTCCTGCCAGGGTGTGAAAACACAATCTCGGGACATCCTTCATAAGAGCTCTGTGGCCAAATTACACCCCAAGGAAATGAGCTTGGGGGGCAACCCCACAATTCAGTCTGACCACTCACTGACCCAGGGGTGTGGCCAGCAGACAGGGGTATGGGGATCACAGTGTCAGTAGGTGCGGTCAGTGTGGGGAGCAGGGAATGGTCAGTGGAGGAAGGACAGGAGGGCTGTACTGGGCACTTGATCAGCCAGAGTTGCAGCTGTGGTGAGAACAGTGGGCGGATGGCCGAGCCGCTGTCCCTAGGTGCTGCTGACTCAGGCCTTGGGTGAGCGTCACATTCCTCTGAACAAGGGACAGAGCGTGGCCCTCTCATGCCCACAAGAGTGGAGGGTTAGATCTAGAGGAAGACTGATGTCAATCCCTCCTGAACTACTCCTCTGGGCAGCAGCTCCTGGCCACTGGCTGCCCTTCTGACGGTCATATATGTGGGGCTCCCCCCTGAGGGGCCCGGGCTCACTTGCTGCAGCAGTGTCAGCTGGGTGAAGAGTTGGTGGGTGCTGTACTCGGTCAGGAAGTAGGGCCCCTTCTCACTGGCCTTGACATAGGGGCCATAGAACTCTTCGGGGAAGCAAGGCTTGGGCAGGGCAGACGCGATAGTGTATGGACGTTCCTTGTGAGGCACCAGAGCCAGCCCGTTCCCCTTGGACAGCCGCCAGGGGAAACTCTGTGTGAAGCAAGAGAACTGAGGACTTCCCCATGGCCTTGGGTTCCCTCTGTCCCCCTTCAAGGTCTTCCCATGGCCCAGGTCCAAGGACCCCACTATCCCTCCATGACCCGGGGCCACAGGGCCCCTCCATCCTCCCAGAGGTCTCCCCATAGCTCAGTCTCCTACTGTCCTCCCAGAGACTCCCTTTGGCTCGGTCCCTCATTGTTCCCAGGTATTTCCCATGCCTCTGGGGGTTCCACAGGTCCCCGGTATTCCCCCTCTTGAAGACTACTCTGTAGCCCCCAGGTCCAGACAAGCTAGTGATGAAGGATCCAGTTTGGCTCCAAGCCTGAGGCACTTCCACCTGGTCAGCCGAATCCAGAGTGGACAATCCCTGCAGGCTTGCTCTGCTGGCCAAGGGCACCTGCCCTGGTCACTCCAGCAGGCTCCTTGGGGATAGCTGCCAGAATCTGAGGCCATTCCCACTTATTTCTGAAAAGGTCACTTCAGACCCAACCATGGCCTGTGCCCACCTTTGAACAGTGGGATCCTTCACATGGGCCCCTGGCCAAGGAGCAAGAAGGTGATTCAGCAAGGCACAGAGCCCTCCTCATAGCACCTGGCTGTGCAGCCCTGCTGGTTGGGGGCCATGGTGGGGACTCCCCAACCCAGCAGGACAGCGACCTGGGCTACACAGAGAGTGTGTTTGTCATACACGCATGCATTTGCATATGTGTGCACATGAATGAGCGTGCTTGTTCACAAGCACAGGCATATACTGATGCATCCGTGTGTACATGTGGGTGCAGAAACGTGTGATCACGTGCAGATGTGCAAATATGCTTGTATTAATGTATATGCATTTTACTGTGTGCTAACAGATGTGCACAGGTGTGTGCTTGCACATGTGTACATGTATACATGAGTTTGTTTGCTTTCATGTATTTGTTCATGAGCTAGAGGTGTGTGTTTGCATGCAGGCAAGTACGCGTGCACATGTTTACACATGTGTATACAGGCTAGGTCCTCGTGGCCGAGTTGGGGAAGGGGAGCTGCCCATTGATAGAGACCCCCTTCTGGGAAAGGCCCCCACCTTCCGGGAGAGGCCGTCTTCTGTAAGCTTCTTACAGAGGGCGTTGAGGGGCCGGGTGTCCTCTTCAGCCTCCTTGGGGTCCTCCAGGTCTCCACCACGTGGGATCCCCTCGCCCCGCCGGTCAGTGCTCATCTCCAGCAGGGCCAGCAAGTGCTCTGCGCAGCCATCTGGAGGCAGGACCTGAGCAGGAGCACAGGCCAGGTTCTGGGGCTGCCGCCTCCCCCTGGCCCTGCTCCATACTACTCTCGGTCAGCCCTAGTCACCTTGGAGGAGATGAAGGCCCGAAGTTGGCCCCGGAGTGCATCATTGCCTGTGAAGTCCACAGCATAGCAGTCTTCCAGCCAGGCCTGCAGCAGGCAGAGGCTGCGCTTATAGATCTTGGTGAAGGTTGAGGTGGGGTCTTGGGCCCTGCAGAGACAGAGGAGGCATGAGCATGACCACCCGGGGGAGGGGCATTGGGTCTGTCTCCAGGGACAAGAGAGATGGACATTCACATGCTCCCTGGGGCTGAGGTATATCCACCAGCAGCCATGGACACTTGAGAGGACTAGGGGTAGGACCAGGCCTCAGAGTGAGAGAGAGGCTATGGGGAGTCAAGTGTCGTGTCCTGGGGTCCTGGTGGGACCTGACACCTCACCTGAACAAGGAATGGTGTTTGGGGATGTCCTGGATGTGACAACCTAGCATGTGTCCACGATGACTTACCACTCTTCCCTGCCTGGACCCCAACCAGTCTGGCCCAGTGCTACTGCAGAGAAAGGCCAGGGTTGACTCCTCTGCTGGGCCCCCTTCCTCAGATGCTGGCTTGTGTCTCCACCTACACCCATGTCTCCCTCTCTCCAAGGCTGATTTCACCATTCTAGGGATCAGCATTCTTGCCTGGGTCACCCCCAGAGTGTAGGAAGGTTTGGATGTCTCCTCTACTACTCCTTCCTCTGACTGTCCCCATAGAACCACTTCATTCTGGTCAGGCTCCACCCCTTCCTGAAGCCTCACCCGGCCCCTGGGGTCACACAGTGCCCTGGGCCTACTGTCTACCCTTATAGTCACAGCCATGCACTGGGTCCACTTGTCTGTGCCCCCCCTCCCCACCATGTAGTCACACAGTGCCCTGCGCCCCTGGTCTGCACCCCCCCCATAGTCACACAATGCCCTGGGCCCCTTGTCTGCCCCCGAAGTACATAGTGCCCTGGGCCCCTTGTCTTCCCGCCCCCCCAGTCACACAGTGCCCTGGGCCCCTTGTCTGCCCCCCGAAGTCACATAGTGCCCTGGTCTCCTTCTCTGGTCCCTTCCTGAGCACCTATGGTTCTGCCTCCTGTATTTTCTGCTCATCTTCACTGACCTCACAAAAGTGTCGACAGCTCAGAATTGCTTCCCTAGCTTGAAGGTGTACTCTAAACTGTCCCTGACCTGGGGACCTTCAGTCTGCCCAGGGCACAACTCTATCTTACTACTCAACTCTGCTCAGTCACTGCCGCCTGTGTGGGGTCCTCTCTCACACCAGACTTTGGGGTGCTGCACCAGCCCCTGACCCTCTTGTGGTTTGTGTGGGCTTTTGTTGCCTGCCCTGTGAGGCATCTGCCCTGATGTCCACCCATCGTTCTGAAAGGACCTAGAGTGTGCATACATGCCTACCTCTGAGCCCATGAGGCCTCAACCCCAGAGGCTGCCATCCCTCCAGGGACCTACCTGGACAGGGTGCTGTTGATGCGGTCCAGGAGGAAGTGTAGGAAGTCATGGGGCGTGCAGAAGTAGCGGAAGGTGTAGAGGAACTGCTGCACGTAGCCCTCCAGGAAGGCGTCACTGGGGACAGATGATCCATCAGGCCAGGGCCATGTCTGCTCACAGCCTCACAAGCAGCCCTGTGACCCCAGAGTTCCCAACCCCAAATAGGACACTACCTGTCTTAGGGCCTGTTCAAGGAGGTTAGGGAGTTGGGGAGCCCTCCTCTCTCAGCAGTTCTGGGGTGCGTGGGCGCATGTCTGTGTGCACACATGTGCATGCCTGACTGTGCACAGGCATGAGTGTGCCTGCGTGTGCCTGAGCAGGTGTGTGTACACATATGAGTGACTGTGTATATGAATATGTGCGCAGGCATGTGTGTGTGTGCATGCATGAGTGAATGTGTGTAAAATGAGTGTGCAAGTACACAAGTGTGTGCATATGAGTAGGTGTACGTGAGTGTGAAACTGCATGGTTGGATATGTGCATAGACATAAGTGCACGTGAATGAGTGAATGTGTAAGAGTGCACAGGCATGGGTGTGTGCACATGTGCTTGTGTGTGTGTATGTGAGTGCATGGGGGCTGGAGAGGCAGCACATGGTTCTGGGTAGCTCTACAGTTTGCATGTCAGAGCTTTCTTAAACGGTAGGGTAGATCATCTGACTCCTGTTGTGTGTGTGAGTGCATGTGTGACTGTACATGTGACTGTAGCTGAATGTGTCTGGGGTGTGTGTGATTGGATGAATGTGTCAGCATGTGTGACTGTAGTGTGAATGAGCACATGTAACTGTATATGTGAGCATGTGCCTGAGAGTGTGAGCATGAGTGTACCGGATGCGTGGATGAGCATATATAGGAGTCCTTACAACTGTGCATGTCTACCATTGTGTGTGAGTGAAAGGGGATACATGTATCCATGCCAGAGGGTATGATGTATGTTGGTGAGTGAGTGTGTGTTGGTGACTGGTGGGGTGTGACCATGTGCATGGTGAGTGAGCGTGGCTGGGAGTGTACTGGGGTATGTTGGGCATGGGTAGTCAGGTGAGTGAGCTCATGTGTTGGTGACTGGGTAAGTGGGAGGGTTACTGGGTGAGTAAACGTGGGGGGAGTTGGTGACTGTGGGTGGGTGTGACGGTGCCTGCCGAGTGAGCATAGGGGTGTGTGTGTAACTGAGCATACTGCTGCCTCTTGCCAGAGGTGCACCTCACAGGTGGGTGCAGGTGACCTTGCCCTGACTGTCCCCTCCACCTGCCCAGCCCCTTACTGGTTTCTGGGGCTGTGTCAGAGGGCTTGGCCTTGTGAGCTGGGCGGGTAGTTGTCAAGGTGGTCCTAGCAAGTGGCTGGGCCTGTGCCTCCAGGCCTAATTGGTCCCCATTGCTGATGCCAGGCTGTCTGAGCCTGACAGTGTGTTCAGAATTGGGTGTGGTGACTGTGAGGCCCGTTTGTAGTTATCCTGACTCTGGTAGACCCAGATGTGCTCTAGTCATGGGCGTCCAGCTACGGCCTGCAGCTTTCTGCACAGGAGCTGGACAAGCAGGGCACTCGGCATCAGCTGTTTATCTCCAATTAGAACTCTTCCATGTATATCATGCTGTCAGGAGGGCAGGCAGGACATTTTCTAACTTTCCTTAGCTTCTGGGATGTTGGTTTTTTTAACCCTGGAAAACTTGTCCTTTTGCTTTTAGAGGGGACATGACGAGAGAAGCTGGGAGAACCCCTCTGCACTTGGCCATGCACACCTGGAGTACAGGTAGGCCATGAGTCCCAGCGGTGTGCCAGCCTGCAGGACGCGAGCCTTCCTCTGCTTGCCCCCACTGCTCCCACCCCCACAGGGGGGCTTGTTGACGTTGTAGAAGATGAGGGAGGAAGACTCGTCCAGGGGGCTGAAGTCTAGTGTTCCACAGTGGGCTGAACCGATGTTCACGATGACCGGCAGGGCACTGGGCTCCAGCCCCCACTGCTCAGCGTAGGCCACCTGAAGGACAGGGCATGTCACAGCTGTGCAGGGAAACGCTGAGGTCCACCACCCTGCTCCCTGCCCCGAGGCCTGGCCCCTGGTAGCTAATGCCCACTCCTGTGGGGCTGTGTGACAAGGGAGCTTGGGCTGACTTGCCTGCAGGTACTTCTTGACCAGCCCCAGGAACTGCACCTTGGACTTCATCTCCTCCAACTGCCCTTTCAGCTTGGACAGCATTGTCCTCACCTCAGAGCCTGCAGGTGGGGCAGGGGACAGTCAGGTCTTGCCTCTCAGGAAAGGTCACAGGAGAAGGACCTGAGTAGATCAGAACAAACTAAGAAATGTAAAAATTGCCAGGTGTACTGGTCCAATAGACAGGGCAGGAAGTCCTGACTGGGACCCTTCATCACCCTTTCAGCTTCAACAAAACTCAACCCTGGGGCTTGACATTCAGCCAAACGACAGGCCTATGAGAGCAGTAATGAGCAGAAGGGACAAGAGACAAAGCTCAGAAGCCAGGAAGGGGTGGAGCAAAACAAGGAAGGGAAATGAGAACCACAGGGAAGAACTGGGAAGAGTGTGGTCACAGTATGGATATCACGAGTGTTGTGGTCAGACAAAACATGGGGAATAGTCCAGACAACCATTTGTATGAGGTTGGTAAACTCCCTGAAGCACGGTGAGCACCATGCCCTGAGGGGTCCACTCTAATTTACTGAGTTCCCTCATTGTCAGGGTTCCACAGGGCTAGCAGTACTGACCTCCCCGGAAACAGAGCACCAGGCCTCTCTTCTGAGGGACTTCCAAGAGGGGCCGCTGGCACACTCAGCTGTCTGCGCCACTCAGGGACTTGACTTGACACTCAGGGTCAGCACCATCTCTCAGTGCCACGACCCGCCCCATCACTCCACCCCCTCGCCCCACCCCT